GGCTGAGAGGGGATCTAGTGGCCTGTTACAAACTAGTCAGAGGGGACCAGCAGGCATTGGGGGAGTCCCTGTTCCCCTGAGCACTACCAGGAATGACTAGAAATAACGGTCACAAGCTGGCAGAGGGTAGATTCAGACTAGATATCAGGAGGCACTACTTCACTGTCAGGGGAGCTAGGATCTGGACCCAACTTCCAAGAGAAGCTGGCTGGCTCCTACCCTGGGGGTCTTTAAGACAAGACTAGACAAACACCTTGCTGGGGTCGTTTGACCCCAGTACTCTTTCGTGCCATGGCAGGGTGTTGGACTAGATGATCTGCTCAGGTCCCTTCTGACCCTACTAACTACGAAACTATGAAACTATGAAACAAAGAATGATTAAGTCTGGTACTGAATATATGGTATGAGCTGTGAAATACCATACATGGGAATAGTGGATGCTGGGTCAGAGTTAACAGCTATCAGACATGCACACTAGGGGACAAGGCATACATAACTGAATCATCTGACTCGTCTCAAGTGGAGATGGCTGGGGAAGCTGCATCTATCCAAAGTCTGGGAAAGTAGAGAATTCAAGGAAATGGTCCAGAGAGTTGAGAAAAATCTCAGCACTGGAAGCTGACAGCCTGCTTGGATTTCATTATGTCTAATAAATCTGTAACAAATACAGAGAGAACTGCTGATTTAGTCCATTGCATTATGTGGCCCAGGTGAAAAACATCTGACTTGATTTTAGTATCAGCTGCTACTTTGCTTAAGTATTATTCACCTTCTTCCCCAGATTATTCATAAACATATTAAATATCCTGGGGCCTATTACAGAACCCAGAGGTCCCCCACTATTAAACTTCTCCCTGGATGAAAATGAATCATATTATTCCTCCTTTGCTTTCTGCCTCAGACTAAAACCAAGAGCTAAGCAGGGTCACCACTGCTGTGGGATCCTCCAGGTGCTGAGTTGGCTTGTTGGGCAAGACTTCTTACAGTAGCTTTTGAGCCACCAGGTTGTGAGGGGAACAGTACCTTGGGGGTGCTATCCTTTACATCAGAAACAACACAGGCCAAAAGCAGTGGTCCCCATTGACGCTCCCTTATCCTTTGTGTGACAGCTGAACACGCCAGCCATGCACATCAGGTTTCAACCTCCCCTTGCAGTCTGGACAATGTTCATCTCCTGCCATGAACTGCAGTTTCCCTGTAGAGGCAGCCATATCTCAGCAATGGGCAGAGTGCTTCTGCCTGGATTGTTTGTGCCATAGATTCATAGATTCATAGATTCATAGATTAAGGGTCGGAAGGGACCTAGTAGATCTTCTAGCCCGACCCCCCGCCAGGGCGGGAGAACAACAAAAAACCCCAAAAAGAGAAATGGGACTCAAACGAGTCCAGCCAGGTAGGCATCCAGCCTCTTCTTAAAGACCCCCAGGGTAGGGGCCAGCACCACTTCCCTTGGAAG